TTCCAACCCCTAGAGCATAGCCTGTCCTTTCCCATTGCTTCTGTTCATCTGTCATCTTTTCCACCTAGAAGGGCTCCCTGGGAGCTTTTTCCCTGGGAATCTTAAGCTCTGCCAACTGCAGGTTTCTACGTCATCTCTTTACAGAAGTCTTCTCAATGTCACTGCGTTTGGATTAGATGCTCCTACGTGGCGACCTCGCCACTGATTAGCTGTGGGATGTTAGACAACTTACTTAATATTTCTATGCCTGCGATTCCTCACCTGTAAGAGAAGGTAAGTGCCAGCATCACATGATTGTCTTGAAAATGAAAGGATAACAATGTCTGGTAAATGGGAATGTTGTTTATGGCATGGTTGTGCCCACCTCCTGATACTCGGTTTCTTCTCACAGAACTTGGCATTCTGTTGTGTGCTGGGTTATGTGTCTATCTCCTCTGCATATCTACCCATGGACATTGCCAAGATCTATCGTAAATCTCTTCATCACAGAGCCTTTCACACTTAGTGCATTGCCTACAACAAGATAAGCTCTTGTGCGACAAGAACTCAGTACCTGTTGAACAGGAAAAGCTTAACACTTAATAAAATCCATTTTTTTTTGCACAGAGAAAAGAATGGAGATTAACATTATAAACCAAACTCCTGGCTGTCATTTTGTTACCTCATGGAATTGTTTTAAGGAACCTCAACCTGGGGTATATAACTTGGAGGTAGAGCACAGACTTAGCATGTTCAAAATGCTAAACATACACACACACAAAAAGAAAAAGAATTTTAAGTAATTTTTTTTCTTTTTTCATATAACTGGATGTTTCTGCAATCTTCCTAAGCTAGAGAGGGAACATAGCAGGCAGAGAAGAGCCTGAGACCTTTAGGCCATATGGAAGAAAAACTTTGTCAATCCAGAAATGTAGTGTGGGCTGTCAGAATGAGAAATTTCCAAGAGACAGAATTCTGAGTGATATGGACAAATCCCTGGAGGAGGCGTAAATCTTCTCTTGTCAGAAAACAAATGGAAACGTATTTATTGGAATTGTGATCACCAGGAGCTCGACTTTCTAAGAACTGAAATGCCACAAACTGAGAACAAGGTTTCCCAAGTTCAGAGAACAGCAACAGCTGGGATAAACAGGGAGAGCCTTTATCCCTCATTGCAAGTCTCAACTTGAAAAACATGAGAAAACGATTGTAGAAGAATGATTCAACTCTTGAGGACCAGGCTCGTTCCAATGACAGAAAAAAATACGGTGTCTTCCTGATAGTTTTTCACAAAGGTAAAAAAGGATATCTCTGAGGTGGGAAAAATGAGGATATGATTTTCTTAAGCGAATTTTGTTTGCAAACTTTCAACAATTGCCTCCTCCACTCCAATCTTAAATAACGACCTTCATCCTTTTGTGATAGCTCCAGATATCAGTATGACCCCACACAGCACCTGAAGTTCGGGTCAGATCTCTGCCTCAGGACTAACTTTATCACAGAACCATTCTTTGGGTACAACCATCAGTTCAGAGGAGAGAATAGAGTCTATATTGGTCTACTTGGAGTCTAATCCAGAAACTTATTATTGAACTATTATGAATTGATTACAGAGCTAAGAACAAGGTAGCAGAGCTAAGAACTGGATCCTAGGGATGCTAATTTAAGACCTGGGCCTCTTAGTTAAAAAAGCAAGACTGTTCATCATCTGTTCCTATTGCCCTAACACTTATCCCAAGAAAGTTTACAGTGGGCTTTACACCTTAAACATCTCACTTCGTTCTAAGCACAAAATGGCTGTACTGTACCTACAACATGCTAATTTCAATAGCATAGTATGATCTAGCCTTTTGTACTACTCTCTACTCAAACATTTTTATGATAAGAAATCACAGTAGAATTTTCTAGAAAAGAATACCTCATTTTGTTTGCGAAAGTGTAGAGTCATCAGTAGGAAGAGATCAAAAAGTGACCAAGAGTAGTGTTCTAGAGAAGGTAAGATGCGCCCAAAGATAGAGTTCAAGGGAGGCCACAAGAGTGAAGGACTCATGCTGGCCCCTGCTTAACGGATGCTGGGACTTCTAAAACATCCCAAGACAATGGAGTCATCTTCATATTCCTTACTGGATTTTTCCCTCATCAAAATCTTCTCTAGACTCCCCAAATTTGATTCAGCTTTCTAAAATGACTAATTATCTAGCTGTGTCTCCCAGTCAAACATCACTTAGCCCTCAAAATGGGAGCAAATAGGAACATGTTCCCTGCCGCATGCCAGGAATGTGAAGTTTAATTCCAGAGCTTAACCAGAACTAAATATGGAAGTTCAGACGTTCAGGGAACTGGGGAGTTGGACACAAGGCATCTAAGCAGGAAAGTAGTAAACACAGCACTTGTGTGGTGACTCCAGTGTGAGTGGAGGTCAGAGGACAACTCTGTGGCCTTGCTTCTCACCTTCCACCCCAGGAGTTTTAGAAAGTGGAAGCAGGTCCTTGGGCGTGGCTGCAAGCACCTTTACCAGCCGAGACATCTCCATCACACTGGGTCTGATTTTAAATTCTTTTATCAGTAAGACAAAGAACTCACTAAAATGCACCCTATTTCCACATCTTGGGGGTCCCCTCCCAGCTGTCTGGAGCCTTCACTTTTGTTCGACAAATATCTCCTGTGTTTTACTCAAGGGAAAAAGAAAAGGATTTGTTCATGATAGATTACGTATAATTCATGTTTTATTAACTAAGGGGAATGGATGGTAAGGAAGTTAGACAAGAGGAAAGGTAACATTTGCTACTGAGTGTGATTCCATACACTAGACCTTAAGGGGAATTCTGATCATTTTCCAAGGACAGACACCATGGGATATCTGCTTTGGTTGTCATGTAACTCCTGCACACTTGTAAGCACAGGGACTACTCCCAACCTGCGCATCTCCCATGCCCCACCTCACCTCTGTGGTGCCATCATTAGTCAAACAGACTTTGGGACCTGACAGAGATACACCCTAGCTGTGTCTTGGACAAATAACTGTGCTTCAGTCTTCTCATCTGTACCAGGAATGGCAGTAATCTTATAGATTGTTATAAGGGATTAAATAAAATTAGTAATTTGAGAGTCAGTACAGCGCATAATATGTACAACAGCAGCTAAAATGTAATGATGCGCATTTACGGCAGTTACGCCATTTCAGGCAGATTAGCAGCCTTACTGCAGGAAGATGCCAGTATCACCCTCACTGAGCTAAGGTCGCAACAGCTACTAAATGCTAAAGCTTAGCTGCCACACCATATGCCAGAAGGGACAGCACATGGCAGCCACCAAGACTAGGCAAACACCTGGCTGTGTTTAGTGTCCGGAGGATGGCTGACAGGGGTGGTTTTCAGATACTCTGTAGAAGGTATTCTGGGTGTTGAACTGGTTTGTGCTTAAATTTGGTAGAGAACGCTGCAAGACGAAGCTAATAGTAGTGCAAGCCTAACACTCCCAGACACCATGACAACTCGCCCTTCCTGAGGTCTGTGGAAAGAGCTCGTGGCTTTGTTGTTGTAGCCCTCCCTGATCGGGCTCTGCCAGACCCGTGCTGCTTCATAAGCCGCCTGCTCTTCCTGGTTGACGTTTCCTGTTCTTCTTTCTATCCCTTTTCTCAGTGTGCTTTCCATAACACTCAGGCTTTCCTTCTAAGGCTGCTCCCTGACACGTGACTGACCTCCATGTAGACTAACTTAGACAGCATGGCTTTTCTCTTTCTCTTCCTTATCTTCCTCCTCTGGCCCCTGTTGAGATTTACAACTTGCCTGCACTGAATTGTCTCTCTTCTTCTTTTTCTACTCCTCCTCCTCCTCCTCCTCCTCTTCTTCTTCCTCTTCCTCTTCCTTCGCCTCCTCATCTTCCTCTTCTTCCTCTTTCTTCTTTCTCTTCCTTCTCCTCCTTTTCCTCCCTCTTCTTTCTCCTCCTCTTCTTCTTTCTCTTCCTCTTCTTTTAAATGCCAAGAAATTTGTCCTTGAGTTTCTGCCTGGGTCTGTCCTTAAATTCCTTTATTAATGAGACTAGGAACCAAAAGGGGAGAGCTCCATTACACCAGTAACAGGCACAACTCTGTCAAGAGGCTCCAAAATTTCCAGAACTATTATTACTGAGTCTAAGGGGGCAACATGTGTAAGGACGGGTGACCGGCATGGTGAAGGGTCTTCTGGGGAGGGAGCATTGTCAGACTTGCGGGCTTTTCAGCTAAAGATTCACACAAGTCAGACGTCACTTACCTGTCACACGAGGTATAATTTGAACTGTGACTGTCAACTGCAGTATCTGTTAGAATCACACAATGAGCCCTTTTATTCTTTTCTAAGAAATGTTCTGGGTCTCCCCAGACTTGCTAGTCTAATGCGACGGTGGAACAACTTGGCATGCACAAGTCTAAAACCTCCCCAGTCTCTTAAAATGTATTCAGGTTTAAAACCACCTCTGGGACTCATCCAGACATAGCATCATACCTTTCCATGTGCTGTGTGACCGTCCTGGCAGGGATGAGGCTATTTAGAAGAAATGCTTATGCCCCTCCTTTGGCTATCAGACTAATGACGCAATGGGGAAACTCAGATTTCTCCAGGACTCTCAAGCTGCAGAGAGGAGAAAGCTGGGACCCTGATGGTAGCCAGAGGGGGAGCTTGACTCCCAGAAAGATTTCACAACTTGCCCGACTGTTCTGCAGGAGAGGTTGGAACTGAGACAACGATGCATGGGTGATAACTGGGACCACACCCAGGCCAGGACTACTTAGTTAGATACACACACATACGTCTTGCCCTCTATTTAAACCCAAACTTCATGTCAGGGAGAGGGTTCTCGCAATGTATCTGCTTTGAATGGACTTTCTGTCTCTGTTTTTTCACTGTTTTCCATCTTTTTAATTGGCCTACTGAGGATGGGTGGCTAAGCCTAGCTTGTTTAAGTTTCCAGGGCCCTGGCTGTGACCCCACCAACTCTAGTAGCCCTGGCACATACAAGAAGAAACCTAGGAAACGAAATACCTGCAGCAGAATCTTGTTGCCGTCATAGTCCTGTGTCTGCCACCTGGTGCTGCTGATGGGAACACACGGATTGGGTAGAAGAGGCACCAGCTGGCCGATCTCTTGAACCTTGAACTGCAGCACAGAAGACTCTTTGGGATCCACTGGCACCCCCAGAGGCAGCTGCTTCAGAGAGAGCTGCAGGCTGAAGCCGTGGGTGGCATAGAGAACAAAGACACAGAAGTTGCTCTTCTGCACAGTGGCGTCTCTCTGCAAGATCATCTCATACAGCCTGATGGCATCCTCGTAGTTTTCAAAACTGCAGTACAGAGTCACTCTGAGGACATCAGTGCCACAATGCCCTGGCCTTATGTCCCACACTGGCATCTGGTTGTGCAGACTGTAGAATTCCTGATTGGCAGGGAGATAGGTACAAGGCCTCCCCTGTGCGTGCTGGGTAGGGAAACCCTGCCAGGGTGAATGCTGTAGGAAGTCCAGGACTCGAAACAGCCGCTCCTGTCCTAGGCTTTCCTGAAGAAAGAGCGAAACAGACATCCCTGGGAAACGGGCTCTCCGGGGGTGGTACTTTTCATGGTAATCTACTGGTCTGGCCCGTTCAGACACCAGGAAGAGACGCACCTCTGGGCAGATGCAATCCAGGAGTTGGTCCAGCGCCTGCTGCAGAAGCGAGCCGTTCCCAGTGTCAGCAAGAAGATGCACAGTCAAGGCTAGCGACTCCTGTGTCTCGTCCATGGCACACGGAGGTGAAGATGATAAGGAAGGCCACCCAGCAGGGCCCACTGTTCAGCCTTCAAAGATGAACCAAGGCCTCACACGGAGCCCTCTAGATAAACTTCAGCAACTTCTGAACCAAGCTCTCAGCCAGATCACACACGCTCCTGGCTTCCTCCAGTGCTCCGGCAGGGAATGTCACTCAAGTGTGGACTCTGCTACACACAACAGCAGTAGCTCCGTACCATCCGGTCTGGGCAGAGGTAACTATTGACTTGGCTTTTTCAGGCATTCCCTGGGGTTTCTGTTTGACCTAAAAACCTATAATGCTGAGAACCACGCCAGTGGGTGGTTCTTACATTCAACTCAGTAAAGGAAATGACCAGGCGGAGAGGAACAGGAGGCGGCTCTGTTGCGCTGATAGCCATCTGTAGCTCTGTTACACTGAAGAGACATCCATTTGGTGGACCACAATGGGCTCTGACTTCCTCCTTAAATACCCTGATGTTTACAGTGGCCTGCCAGGCCACCTGAATAGAAGGCCTTCTTTAAAACCCCTCCAGCCTTGTCCCTTTGCCAGAGCCTTCAGTACCCATCTCTTATGTTTCATTTTGACCATTTTATACAAGGTCACAAAGAGAAAGAGAAAGAGAGAGAGAGAAAGAGAGAGAGAGAGAGAGAGAGAGAGAGAGAGAGAGAGAGATTGTTTTGTTTCTGCAGTGTTGGCCTCAGAAAACTGTTTGCCTGACTGAACTAAGTCTGGATGCACTAAAACAACATAAGAAACTAAGTCACCTTTGGTTCGTGCAAATTTGTAAGAAGTGAAATTTCCTATGTCCGTAATTATTATGTCTTCCTATTGACGATCTGTTGGTAAACTGTCCTAAAACTTTAGAGGAATTGATTTAAACAGCCAACAAACCTACAAAGAAGAGAATATCATTCCCCCCCCACCTTTGCTGACAAGAAATTGAGGCATAGAAAGACATCAGATAAGTTGCCCAGACTCAGACAAGGAAGTGGCCGAGGGAAGATTTGAACGATCGGGAGGGCCAGCATGCCATGCTCCCTCTCTAGAGCCAGCCATAGTTTGTTGCTTTGTTTATTGTTTGTTTTCTTGAGATGAGGAAAAGCTGCCATGCCAACTTCCAGTTGACACTTCCCTGTGGATACAGGCTGTTCAGTCTTGCACAGAACATCACACAGCTGTCGTCACCACCTAATCTGTTCCCGCATCCTTCAGTAGTTGGGCATAGAAACAAGTATTTGTAATCCCACGACTCAGGAGACTGCGACCGCGGGATTCCTGTGAGTGCCGGGCCAGCTGGGTTGTGTAGAAGCCAGTCTAGGCAATACAGCAGACCCCATCTCAACAAAAAAAAACAAACAAAAACTGCTATTATAATAGCCGTCTGTCAGTGGGCCTGTGTGTGCACCGTGTTCTACCGTGAATATGTTCAAAGGGAAGGTAAAACACTGCACTGAATCAGCGTGTGCAGGAGCTTTCCAATGCACAACCAACTTTAATGAGGGTAATAACTTCCTCCGCTTTACATGTTATATTCATGGCTTCCTTCAGTAGTGTAAAAGCTATGATCCTGGGCTTTGACCATGGTCTGGGGACTCTAATTCTGAAGAGACACTTTGCCTCTCCATGACTAAGAATGGAGCAATGGTGGCACCCCTGGGAAAGGACCAGGCAGGAGGCTCACAGCCGAGTCTACATATCTTCTGGTTCCATTTATAGCTCCCTTTATACTGTGAAAGTCCCGCAGATATACGGAAGACGGAACAGACTCTTTCTGTCCCTGACATGCCCAGACAGTCGATTAACCCAGTCTCCTTTTCTAACTTCTGTTTCCTAATGTTTTGGACTACAGGGAAGCTGGGACAGGGGAAGTTATGGACCTGACCGCGTGGTAACAGTAGGATGACCAAATTTAAAGTCTTCAGTTAGAACTTCAATCCGTGGAAAGGAATCCTCTCCATTGACAGTTTTCATCGATTGCATTTTATAATATCCTACGATTTCTGTATTAGAAAATTTATAGGGATAGAATCTGTAACTGACAAATTGTTTTCAGATTCATTTTGCTTTAACTTTCTGGGAATTGTTAGAAGGTTTTAAAAGAATTACAACTCTCAAGCTTTAAAAAAAAAGCTTAATTCATGTCACATGCTGACATTTGAAAGCAATAACTCTCTTTCCTTAGTATAAGGCCCTTTCCTCTCCCACAACCTTTCTCTTACCGAGTCGCTCTTCTGAGTCACTTTAGATCAAACCCTGGATTTTGAAAGAGCTTTTGAAATTCTTAAAATAGCATAAATAACTCTACATGTTTGAAGAGAAACTCCCTACCCTTGAGACAAAAGTATTAGCTCATTAGCTCCCAGCATTTTGTCTAAGGCTGATGTCAATAATCTTACACAGAAACAGGTTGTCTGGCCTTCCAGCCAACGTTCTTTCTCCCTCTTGGGGTTGTCATCTGTGGTTTCATATAAAATATCTCTTTCATCTATCTGTTGGCAGCTAAAGTGCCAAGCAATTGCAATCAGGAGCAGTGGAGGGGGTCAGCCAGCATCTTGACTGACTGTCTTTGCCCTTTCTTCTCCTGGAGCAACGTGATATCCTGACCAACCATCCCCCCACCCTGTCACTGCCTCCACCCATGCTCACCCTCTCCCATTCACAGCAAATGGTGACTTCTTAGTGCCACAGTGAGTTTTGTTTTTGGAACAATGCTCCTGTGGAAAGCACAGAGGGAAACATTCAGGACATCATCACCTGTGACTTGCTGACTGCGAGTCTCTACCTTATTTTCTCTAAACTTGGAACCCCTGAGTGGGTTCCTGTCAGCTACCAGGGGGCTACTCTTGACAGCAAGGCAGAAGCATTGGTGACAAGACATCAACTTCTTAAAATCTGTTGGGATGCATGAGACTTGCTGGGTTTGTCCGTTCTGTGAGTCTCATAAACCTAGTGTGAGACCCTAAAACCCTGAGGTTCCCACTCCCACACCCAGGGAATCTTTCAGAACATTTCTTTCCACCTTTAATCCATCGAATACGTTTCTATTTCTCACACGTTGAAAAACTGGCTCTTCCCCCGGAGTGGAAGGCACAATTGTCCAGGTCCCATTTCTCCCAGGAGAAGTGCCTGACTGAGGCTGTTGGTATCATGATCAAGGGCACTGCAAAGTAGTGTAGGAGATCTGTGGGAGGAGCTGCGAGGTGCGGAGGAGGAATGACGCTACTTAAGTCTTGATAAGTGAGAGGGAAGGATTCAGGCAGGCGGGGAGGTTGGGTTTGGACTGAGGGGCCAGGAGCCTGTGGGAAGAGGGCTCTCAGAGATGTGGTCGACCAGAAGGTCAGACATCTCACTTCAGCTGGAAGGAAGGCAAGGGCCTTGTAAGCGCAGTTTGAGCTGTATTGATTACATGGACAGGACCATAGAAGGGCTGTCTTGGACAAGAAGGATGTAAGTACAGGATCTCATTATGTAGTCTCTGTAGCCCAAAATGCCTCAAAATTATAGTTCATCCGACTCTGCCTCCAAAGTGGTGGGATTGTAGGTGTGTGTTACCCACACCTGGCCAAAGAGTTGTTTTGGGGAAAAACAAACAAACAAAAAAATGAAACCATACTTTGAGGACCCACTGATCCAAATGCCGTATGGAAACCCAGTGAGTAGGCATGTGAGCTGGCTATCATCCAATCAGGCTTCACACGGTAGTGTCCATGGGTTTGGGCGAGGCTGTCAATACCAAATAAGAACTAAGCCAGAAAAGGAGAGTAAGGTAGAGCGTAAGGTACATGGTGTGAACATATTGAGACGATCTCCATTGGATTCAGAGTAGAGATATCCAGTACCACCTCGGAGTGGAGCAGCAAACCAGAGACTGCGTGCTGAATGAACACCGACCAACCTTCATGTGATCACTAACAGAGAATATGATGGGGACGGGGCAGAGAGGAGGATGGGCATACTCCATGTAAGAGACAAGAGACATTTATGTGGTACCTGGGGACAAAGAGGGAATGGGATATGCCATCCTAACTGTGTGGTGATTGGGTCTTTGGTCACAAGATTTCAGGACACGGCTTTGAGTGGCAGATACTGTCACTTTGACGTGTCACAATTGTGAGGCATTCCTCCTCCTCCATTAGGACAGCTGAAAAGCAGCAGCCGTCTCCCAGCCGACGTCAGACCCAGGTAAATCTACTCCCCGTCGGCAGCATCCGAAGGAACGATGGTGGGGAGAGGCCACCTCTCTCACACGGGCACTTCCAGCTTGTAGCCTCTCACTCTCTACCCGTGGAGCAGGCATGGCAAAGCTCTGTTATGGATACAGGACTCTTGGCATCTCCTAGAAGGTGAGACATCCTCATGGGGAGCGAGGGATGTTATTGTCCCCACAGAACTGGCTGTTGGCAGAGCCTGAATGTCTGGTTTTAATGCTTCTCTACCACATCTGAGGGAACCTGTACAGCAACTGTGGCTACTCAGGTAAGTCTCGGGACTCCGAGACACATTTCAGAAGGGAAAGAAGACACAGGAATATGGACTATTTTTAGATTTGGTCATTGCCCAGTGCTCCAGACCCCTCTAAGAGTGTGCTTCCCTAACATGCAAGCATGCACACACACATGCTCTCACACGCACACTCAAGCGTTCACATGTGCACGCATGCACGCATGCCCATACATGTGCCCATGCATCCCAGCTCCTGGTTTCTTGGGAACCCTGGCAAGAGAAGCAACCCAAAGTGATGGAGACTTGGCTATGCCCACTTTTAAGGCTGTCCTATAAGCGAAGATGTGTAAATAGCTATCGTAGGCACCTTCTCCCAGCCTTGGCTCTCTACTGGAAACCTCCCTCCCAGCTCTCCAAAGAATACTTCCTGCCCAGACCCACACAATGCTATCGGGTTCCTAGCAAATTACCATCTGTTTCCCACTTCCCTGAACCATGCGGTGGTTGATCCCTGGTTTTCACGGGTACAAACAAAGACAATGTGTTTCCTCCCTGCCCTTTGTTGTGTTCGGCTGTGACTTCACTTCCCTTAGCCCAGCCAGTTGTAGTTCTGGCCTATAAACCAGGGAGCCAGGGGCCTGGCCCCTCCCACCTGTCTCTGCAGTTCCTAACCCCTCAGGCTGATTTCATCACCCGTGGAAGAGAAAAGAAACAGCGGTAATAATTGACCTGACTCAAGGGAGAAGGATCTAATGAGTTCAAAGAAGCCAGCAAGCAGCCGGGGAGCTTTGGGGTGCCGCAACCTGTCTTCTCTCCAGATAAAATCCGCTTAAGCACAGTAGGGGATGGGTGAATACATTGGTATGAT